AAATAAATAAATTCTTTACAGACTACGTACCCCTTATAGCCTGCACTACAGCCCCACCTTCATATGACACTAGTAGGTAGAATGCTAGATATTAATATATATGATCTCATTATCACTCCCTTTCCACAGGTAAGACCAAGTCTCTGAGATACAAAATTACTTACCCAGGGTCACACAAATTATAAACATCAGAGTCCAGCTGGGAACCCAGGTCAATATAACCCCAAAATATTTCTCTGGCTATGCTGCATACCTCAGATGTCATGCTTATTACTGCCCATTTAAAAAGAGATCTCATTGCTACCATCACCTTAAAGACCACTCGGCAGTTTCATGGAAAGTTAAGCTTATATCTACCCTATGACCCAGAAATTCCATTCCTAGGTAATTACTTGAAAGAAATTAAAACATTTATCCACACAAAGACTGACATAAGAATATCCATAGATGCTTTATTTTTAAAAGCTCCAGGAGCACCTGGTTGGCTCGATGGAGTGTGTGACTCTTAATCTCGGTTTGTGAGCTGGAGCCCCATGTTGGGTATAGAGAATACTTAAAAATAAAATCTTAAAAAAATAAAAAATAAATAAATCAAAGCTCCAACTGGAATTAACTCAAATGGTCATCAACAGAAAAGGTATAAATAAAATGCAGTCTATCCACACAGTGAAATACTATTCAGCAATGAAAAGGAACGGGCTATAGATACATGCAACACGGATGAAACTCAAAAAATTATGCTAAGCAAGAGAAGCCAAACACATACAAAAATACACTATCTAATTCCACTTACATTAAGTAAAGAACAGGCAAAACTAATCTTTGGAGACAAAAGCCAGAAAGTGGTTGCTCTGAGGTAGAAGGGTTGACTGGAAAGGGCACCATGAGAACTTTCTATGGTGATGGAAGTACTTTCCAATTTGCTGCAGGTAGTAGTTATACAAGTGTCAAAACTCATCTAACTCAATACTTGAGACCTATGACTTTATTTTTGTGTTAATCATACCTCAATAAAGAGAGAAAAAAGTAATAATAATAATAGCAATAGTAATAGCTGATATATACTGAGCACTATCTCACCATGTACCAGGGACACTACAGTGACCTCCATATATGCTTTTATTTTTATTTATTTTTTAAAGATTTTTATTATTTAAGGGGAGAGGGAGAAGAAGGCTCCCTGCTGAGCAGAGAGCCCAATGCGGGGCTCAATTCCAGGACCCTGGGATCATGACCGGAGCCAAAGGCAGAAGCTTAACTGAGACACACAGATGCCCCATATATATGCTTTTAGTTAATCTTTACAATGGTCTTATGATGGAAACATCATTACCATTTGGATTTTTCAGATGAGGAAATTGTGTTAGTGTAGCCCCACATTGTGTAAATAGTATAGCCAGATTATGAACCCACGTCTGACAGATTCCAAAGCTTCGCTGTTAACCATGATGTCAGACCGCCTTTTTAAATTCTGAGCTGTATCGCCTAAAACTTAAATGCTATGTGCCTGCCAGTATTATACTGGGCTCAGAGAGACATGACTGAGTCAAACAGACACATCTCCTGTCCTCACAGAACTGATGACGTTTTGTTTTCTCCTCCTCTTCTCCAAACATGTAACATTAGCCTTTGCCTATGTTATTATAATCTCCTTATAAACTTCAAATGGCTATGGAATATTCCTCCAAAGGTTAAACCATACCCACCTCTACCTTAGTGTTGTACATATAAGTTAGTTGCAAATTTGGTGAGTTGATGCATTTTTTAAAAAGATTTTATTTATTTGACAGAGAGAGAGACAGCACAAGAGGGGGGAGCGGCAGGCAGAGGGAGAAGCAGGCTCCCCGCTGAGCAAGGAGCCTGACACAGGACTCAATCCCAGGGTCATGGGATCATGACCTGAGCTGAAGGCAGACACCTAACCGACTGAGCCACCCAGGCGTCCTGAGTTGATGTATTTTAAAATTCTAGTGGGAAAAGAACATTTACAGGTGGCTGGTCAGCCGAGACTAGACCTAATGTTATTTTTTTGTTGTTTTGTTTTTTGGCATTTGACTGGAAATATATAAAATCTGTGTGTTTTTTTTTAAGATTTTATTCATTTATTTGACAGAGAGAGACACAGCGAGAGAGGGAACACAAGCACGGGGAGTAGGAGAGGGAGAAGCAGGCTTCCTGATGAGCAGAGAGCCCGATGTGGGGCTCAATCCCAGGACCCTGGGATCATGACCAGAGCTGAAGGCAGACGCTTAAACGACTGAGCCACCCAGGCGCCCCCCCAAAAAAGAACTTTCGGTCCTACTCCCCAGAGGTCAGAGAGGAGCTGGAGGTTGAACAGATCACCAATGGCCAATATTTTAATCAGTCATGCCTATGTAATGAAGCCTCCACAGAAACCCAAAAGAATAGGGTTCAGAGAGCCTATGCATCAGTAAACATGTGGAGAGTGGCACATTCCAAGAGGCTGTGGAAGCTTTGCACCCCTTCCTACATACCTTATCCTAGGCATCTCTTCTATCTGGCTGTTCCTGAATTATACCCTTTTAGAATAAATGGGTAATCTGGTAAGTAAAATGTTGCTGAGTAATGTAACCACTCTAGCAAATTAATCATATCCCAGGAGGAGGTTGTTGGAACCTCCAATCTATGGACGGTTGGTCAGAACTACAGGTGATATAACCTGGGCCTGTGACTGGCATCTGCAGGGGGTGGTGCAAGGGGCGGCGGGGCCGTCTTATAAGACTAAGCCCTTAACCTGTGCAATGTGATGCTATCTATCGCCAGATCGATAATGTCAGAATTGAGTTAAATTGTAGGGCACCCGTTTGGTGTTGGAGAATTGCTTGATCGTGTGTGAAAAGAAACAAAACCCCCCACACACTGGACCTGCCTAATGTGGCACCACTAACAGTGAGGACAGGAAGCAGGATTTTAACTTGAGAGCCTGAGCTCTTAAGTACTGTCTGAGAAATGGATGAATGCCTCTAGAATTATTGTTATTTGTCCTCAAATCAGTAACCCATCTAAAGGACAGAAGACAGGCCAGAGTAGACAAATATGATACTTATGATTAATTTTCACATGGTAAAACCTAGCTTAGAGGTGGGTAAGTTGAAGGGAGTATAGAGATAAAGCTCAAATCAGATTCTACAAAAATACAAAGTAACTATTGACAAAAAGTATTAATAAAAGTCTCTGTAAGTTAGAACACCTGTTTGGGAAGCTACTTTATAAGGAACAGAGTGTTTAAGAGGAGTTATTTTGGCCTTGATAACTAAGGCTGGCTTAGATATATGGTCACAATCTGTAATTACACTGTGGAATACAATGGAAGAAAATATGCCTATGACATACCAGAATTAAAATGTGAGTAAACAATAAAGGGATAAAACCTCAAACTTTTAAGGAAGTGAGAAGAGGGACTGCTTAGAGACAGCTCCTAGAGAGGAACAGACCTTTGTGTGCCTCCCTGGACCCTTGGAAATACTGCTATTTAGGGTGAGCTTTGCACATCAGGGACCTAGAGGAAACAGAAAGTGCACAGAGAACCTGCAAGAAAAGTCTTAAATCTCACTTACACTCCAAGTTACAACCTCTTGGTTCCTGTTTAACTTTGTTAAATATTGATTATAATTACTATTTGTTGTAAGTCCCTATAATCTGCTGGGTGGTGTGGTATATGGGAGGAGGAGGAGGCAGGAGGAAGTATTTTATCCTAACAGTGCTCAGAATTTTAGGTGCATAATGATGATAAAAAGCAAATGGATTTACAATGGGTTTTATTACTGCTTTTAAATTCTTTACAGGG